AATTAAAGTTGTTCAGAATTATTTTTTGCATATATGTATGCATTTTTAGAGTGGATTTATAAGTCTGATAAAAAGTCGGACAGTCCGCCGGACACTCCAAAAGGCTCGGACATCAAAAATGTACAACACTGCCGCGTACGTACGCGTTTGTATTATTTTAATGTTAGTACAATAACTATAACACTATTATAGAACCAAACTGAAGTCCTAAATTAAAAAATAATGAAAATTAGATCTTTAAAAACGACTTTTCATAACTTTGGATCTCTTGCAGTATAGGTGACGCTATTAATAAAATACATTATTAATCAATTTATTTATAATAGGTGTCACCCATACTGCAAGAGATCCCTTTGTTTTAAAATAAACAGTTTCAAAAACTGGGTATTTAGAACCATTTTTTATACTAAAAAAAATGATAAAAATCAATAATTGCTTTATTATGCTATTATATGATACTCTTAGGTATTGGTATATACATTCTTATATGCTTTCATCCTACAAATTTTGTGTCTACCTACAAATTTTATGCCTACCTACAAATTTTATGCCTACCTACAAATTTTGTGCCTACCTACAAATTTTATGCCTACCTACAAATTTTGTGCCTACCTACAAATTTTGTGCCTACCTACAAATTTTGTGTCTATCTACAAATTTTGTGTACCAAATGTGCATAATATGATTTTTTTTTATTATTCAAATGAAGTAGAGATTCGATTACTAAACCAAACCGAATAATAATTTGTAATAATTTTCATCATTCAAAAAAAAAGGGGATGAGTCGCGTCTCTATTCATCCAGGTCCACATCACCCGAAGCAAGTTCGAAAACACCTATTTCGATTCCACACCTTTTTCTACGAAGTTTCTCGTTACGAGCTTTATCTTTTAGTTGAATTTGACTACGATTACGTAAAATACCATAGGCGTTTCCGTATTTGTCATATATTTTTGACCAACTAGTTCCAAATTCTTCCATCCCAGCTTCTAATGCTTTTAGTTCATGTTCGGACCATTTTCTTCGAAAATTTCTACCTCTCCTTATATTTCTGGACGAACCAGTGATGTCCACGTGGGGAAGCGATATATCAGTTGGTGTTTGTGGATTTCGTATCACGATTTCTCTACAATCATTTGATGACGAAGTAGTCTGGGTTTCTTGGTCTCGTTTAACAATTTCTTTACAATTAGTTGACGAATGAATTTCTTGATTTCGTTTCGCGATTTCACTTTCTGATACAGATCCCACAGTTCCCACATTACTATAGTTTGTTGCAGTTGATTCGCTATCGGTCACGATTTCGATGTTGTTGGTATTATCACAGGAATCTTTTAAAACAGTTGTAGATTTTGACTTTGTGAGTGATAACATATTAACTTCATCAAGTTGGTTTTCGTTCATATGCATAAACTTGAAGAGACTATAATAATAACGTGACCACATACTCATAATGCGTTGAATAAGTTGAAAAAATTATCTAAAAATCTAAAAATCTAAAAATAAAAAAAGACGTAAACAAAAGAGGAATATATATATGATATTTTCCATCACATGATAACTTGCATAAGGAAATAACCAATCGGAGAAATGCTAATTGATGATCCGGATCATCCCGGCTGATTCATCCGATCGTACAAATCAATCAATGTGGCAGATTAAAATGAAATGAGCGATAGTGTAAAATAGACAAGCCACCGAAAAATACAAATTTTTGGGTGCATTTTTTTAGGGTTAGGATTAGGGTTTAGAGGCAGGTTTTATAATAAACAAGTATAAATGGGTTTTAGAGAGTCAAATAGAAACCCCTCATTTCATTTTAATCCGATTTCATTATGATCTGCGACAATAATTGAAATTGACAGAGAAGAGGATTGAATTTCCGTCACGTGATCGTCCGAAGTCAATTGGTTTCAAACAAAAAAATTCACTTGCGTTAGGGTTCGGGCATATGTTAGGATTAGAAAGTGTGTTCTTATAGTAAAATTGCACGAGGAATTTTTTTTGTTAGAACCCAAAAGGTGATTTACTAGTATAATTTTTGTCGAGGATGATGCTGAAATTCTGATTTAGTTTATTATGAAAATTTAAAAATGTTTTGGGGTGTTTTGTTCAGCTTTTTTTTTATAATTCTATTAGAATTTAAGGTTAGTGTTTATAATAAAAAAGTATAGGTAGATTTTAGTAAGGTTTAATTGATCTCAAAAAATCACGTGAATGGAAAATCGATAATTCGGACTTTATGTCAGGACCACCAAAACCCTCTGATTGGCTGTTTTCTTTTTAGGAGTTTGTATTACTGCACTCGCGACAATAATAAATTGTTTTCTTGTCATATTGCTGTTTCGTTCTTTTCTCTCTAAGTTTTCCT